ACAGCAATAGGCTTTCTCGGCTGCCGCAGCCTATCCGCAAAATCGGTAAGAACTGAAAATTTTCATAAACAATATTAGACAAATTATTATCCCAAACTATCGGCAGTGTTTTTAGTGGCGAAGGCTCGGCGAGGGTCATAATTTTGTACTTGTCATTTGCTGAGCGAGTTTACGTGCAAAAGTTCTCACAACCCAAGCCCTGAAGCAAAACAGGCTAAAAATGAGCATGAAATTCATCCAGTGGAACATAGATTTGCTAAAGGCAGTGAAATTCTGATGAAACCGCTAAAAACAGTTCGCTGCAGAAAGCGCTACGTCAACAGTGACAAAAACGGCCATGAAATTCCATTCAGGATGTACCTGTTTCTAATACAAATAGTGAACTGGCTGCCATTTCACGTCCAAAAGATGACTATGCCACTGATCAATCGTCAGGTTTTTCATAACTTGAGGCAAATCAGACTGCAAGAGGAAATCGACTGGAGGGGAGGGAGGAGGGGGAGGGGGAAGAAAGAATAAGAAGGGAGGAGGGGCATGCTGCTCCATCTCGAACTTCGAGTCCAGAAGCTCTTTGCATATGGAAGCATGAAAAGCGGTACCTTGTGAATCATCTGGCTGTGTTGGACTTAGTTCCTCGTTCATCGAGGAATGCCCCGTCTCGCTGGGCCCCTTATTTCCAATGTTTGCATCAGGTCGATGTGACACTCCAGCTCGATCCAAACCCGGCCTCTCCCAGGCACTCGTATCCTGAGTTTGCGATTCCGAAAGCGCACCAGTGTTTTTCCTGTTAAACTAATAAGTATTATACTGCCGGGTCTCTCGGCACAGGCGGGGAGTACCATGAGGCACTGGGAAGTGGCGAAGTCAGGCCCCCAGTCACTCTTAAGTGCTCTTTTTGAAGCCAATTAGCAGTACAGAAGTCGGATCACACGGTACATTTATGCTTCTGATATCCATGGGGAAATTTTGCTTGGAAAGCGAATGCGCCGATGCTTATTTTGTTCTGCACTGCTGCCGGGGATCGTTTAGCAATGCATGACAAAATAACAAGCGTTTGAGTTCAGGACAAGGAGCAGTGGGGTAGTGCAGCCATGCCACTGCTCCTTGTCC